TTTGTCAGAAAGGTAAACAAAAAGCTGGAATTATTGATACAAGAGAGAGTTTCAAAATTCAGAGGAATATTATACTATCTGATTGGTATCGGGTCAAGTGTCGATGTTGACGTCTCCTGCACTCCGAAAGGTTTCAAATTGTTACCTGAACACAAGGGAAAATCAATTGGTATTTGTTATCCGAACATGTGTTCGTTGTCCGATTATAAAAATGTTTTGCGAAAGTGTTCATTATCCTATTTGTTCGCTATACAAACTGTTCGTTAACCGATCACCCAATGTATATCAATATGTGTAGTATTTATTGGAAGTAACAAAATATCACATGATATTTTGCTAGTTCCAAAAGATTTCCTTGTTTTTTATTTTTCATTTTGATAAAATTGAAACAAATGTGAATACCTTAAAATGTGTGATATTTCACCTATATTGCAAATTGCTGAAATGAGATGGATGCTGTCAGGAAGAACATGTAATGTAACACATCATGTGGAACTTTAACAGATAAGTACCAAAAGAAATTTCACTCTCAAAAGTCCTACAAATATAACCAAATAAATTTCAATAATTTTTAATAATTAACAGTCTCACAGTGTAGTTGTAATAAATTACAGTATAATAGCCAAGATAGAGAGTGGGGAGATTATGTCTGATATTGCAGGCAGATGACTTCAACAGGTCTACAGTAGATACAATCTTAGCTAAGAAAGGTATAATCAAAAAGACTCAAGCAAATAAAGGAGTAATGAAAATCACATCTGAAAAACAAATATGCGCCATCTATAAAAAATGGAGAGAGTGTTTTTAGTTTGTTATTACATGTAAATAAACATAGTAAGAAAGTATATAATTTTTTTTAGGTCTCCAGAATGAACTGATCAAATTCCCACAAAAATCTATGGTAAATCGATAATTGGTTAACAAACAATTCGGATAGCAAATATGGTTTTGGAATGAATTACATTCTTTAACTGATCACCCACTATATACAGAATGATCAAATGGAAAGTTTACTTGCAAGAATTAAAACAAAGAGTTTGGTAATGCAGTAAAATAGGAAGATTCTTGTTACTACCCTGTTATACATTGCAAGAAACATTTAAATTTTGAAAATTTATTTATTATAAGTTTGAGAGAGAACATTTAAAACTATGAATAAATCAAAATACTCACCACTATAAAGTGAAAATCTGATTTTTTTTCTTCAGATAATGTTTAATAAGTTACATGGGGTACAACAAATAAAGTTTGTAAACATAAGTATGGATTCAGATGATTTAGAATATTTCTGCAAAAACTGTTTACTTAATTTTCAGTAACATTTCTTTATATAACTTTAGAGCAGAGAATTTTCATAATAGAGTTTAAGACATTTTAAATTACTGAAACATTTATTTTAAATAATAATAATGAGCTAACATTATACTTGGCAGTCAATAATGTATGATGAATTAGTCAACAAGCACTAAACTCCTTGTTCTATTTATTGTGAGTAAACTTTGATCACTTATTAATAATATCAATTATGAACTGCATTACTTTTCTGTTCTTAAATATGATTATTTGAATATCAATCTGTTATGATTTTAGAAATTGAAAGTTATTTGTAGCTCNCAGTATGGCTCGAACAGGTCTACAGTAGGCACGATCTTAGCTATGAAAGATATATCAAGAAGTCTCAAGCTGCTAACGGAGTAATGAAAATCACATCTGAGAAATAAAGAGCATTTTTGAGCTCATAATGGAACCTGAAACTGATCTGACGACAGAACTTCAAGAATTCTCAAATGAAGAATACCAAGAAACTTAGAGAGACATGTTCTCATTTGAAAAAGAGGAAGATAAAAGAAACCAATGTTGACATATGCTACTAAAGATCTTTCGAAGAAGTGGGATGTCAGAACAACATTCATTCAAGTGGCATCCAAACCAGAATATAATTAATGGGATTGGGGATCTCTACAATTACAATACTATTAATTACTTCTAAAAAATTCTGAAGAAAAAAGAAAAGCAATCGACATTGGACAGATTGTTTAACCCCCACAAATGGAAAAAACATGACTAATAAAAATGCAAGACTGCACATATATGTATTTTTACTATTACATATAAATAAATGTAGTAAAAAGTATATATATTTTTATTTTTTGGAGTCTCTGGAACAAATTAATCAAACTCCCATAAAAATCTATGGTAAATTGATAATCGGTTAATGAACAATTCGGATAACGAACAAAGCCTTGGAACGGATTAGGTTCGTTAACTGATCACCCACTGTACATGGTGCAAATATTTCTATACTATTTAAAGGTTTGTTGAAGAATAACATTAACAACTAATAAGCTTTTTTGCATCCTTCTGATCTTGCCAATATCTCTGTTTTGTTATTTAAATAATGAATAAAACTCCAATCCCTACAACTCAAACTTAAGCACCAAAATAGTAGATTTTTCAATTTGTTTCAGAATTTTATTATTATGGCAATAACTACAGAAGAACTAAGTATGAAGTGATGATTTTAAACAATATTAGTGAACATATACACTGTTTGGAGGATAATAAAAAATAAAAGTGTGATTAGATAAATATTAAATCTGTAATCAAGTTAAATTGTGAGAAATAAATGAAGAATATTTTAAATCAGTTATTATAAATGTTATCAATTTAAGAAAGAAAAACTACTTATTAAATTTTAGACAAAAATGGATATATATATATAAAGCTTAGCAAATGTAGTGAAAAGATATTAACTTTATAGTTAATGTCTTTTATGATTTTACTCTAAATATTAATATATTGAAATTACATTTTCAGAAAAATAAAATGGTTTAGAAATTGTTTCAACAGTGAAATAGTGCAGAATATCATCTACTTTAATTATCATTTATTTTTCCAACCATGAAATAAGTTCTGAAGCTATTTTTTCTTATCATTATTTAATTAATCATTATCCTATTCATTATTAAGTAATATTGATGAGATGATATATTTATTAATTTAGAGCATAATAATAAATTATTATTAATGTGTTTAAAAGATTCAAATAATTTTATAAATTTTACTCTCTGGTCCTTAAATTAATTAGAAAACATTACATCTTTATTAATAATTAAATGAGACATATCAAAAGTTTTAAAAATGTATTTAATAATTTGTATAAAAAATTATGAAAATACACTGCATATACACGTTTAAAAATATGAATTATTATTCATGTAATTTATAAATGTTGTTAATTTCATATTTTTAATTTAGTGTGAAAACATTTCTTACTTTTAGATATGAATTAATATTATAAATTTCTTGTAAGTAAAATTATTTACAATTTTTATTAAAAGTAGTAAGTAGAAAATATAGAAATATAAACAGTTCTATTTTAAAAAATAAATTATCATTAAATGTATACATAAAAACTAAAAGTTATTTGTAGGCCCCTTCTTTCTATTTCTATTTACTGATTTTGTCAAAAGCAGTTTCTTTACTTTAATTTTCTCCACACACAATCAAATAATGATTCATTTATTGTTAGTATAATTTAATTAAGATAAGCTTATAAATTATAAACTAATTATATCACTCTTATATTAAATTTTAATGAATTCAAAAACCAACTTTTAATATTATTTGCAATACATAATTTATAAATATACTGTATTTTCCATTGTATAAAAAACTAATATTACTTTTGATTACTTTTATCCAAAATACAATATTAGATTAATAGTTATTGTTTGTATTTTATTCTTTAATATTTAGAGAATTTCATATACAAATGCTATTTATTAAGAATAAATAAATATACAAAAAATATTCAATGGAGAAAAATCTGAACATAACAATTTTCCCTAATATCAAATTGTACCACAAAAAATGATGCTACCAAAAATATTTCATGCTTGAATGTTTAAAATAGGAAAAATTAAATTTTTTTACATTAAAAATCTTAATATATCAAAAAATTCACAAATAACTAAATTAAAGATTTATAGTTAATAAATATTATAAGTTTGAATTATTATTAATGCAATTATTGTTATTATGATGTTTTTACTTTCATTCTAACAATGTTTCCCAAGGAATATACTGTTGACGATTATATGTTACAGATTATCTGCATTAAATTGTGGTTATTAATAAATTATGGAAAATCTGCTATGTAATTTATTAGTTAATTTGCATCTCATTTATATTCATCTTTTTAGTATATACTGTCTGACCAACTAACCAACCCAGGAGGGTTGGACTACTTTACTAATCATATTCAGGGGTGAGCTATAGCATGAGTCATACATACTGTATAAGTAGAGGGGTTAAACTATACTAACCAGTCACATGATGCACCTTTACCCTGTCAATGGTCAGTAAACTAGTCCATCACCTAAGGGGAGTGCCTTCTTGGGTTGGTCAGACGGTTAACTGATTTCCATTAAACATATATAGTGATCTAGATATGCATTTCAGAATAATTTTTATCATTTATATCTGCATAGATATTTAGTAACTATTATTATTTGTCAATCAACCAATCAGAGTACTTTGCTATTATGAATAATTTTATTCAAAATAACACAAATTTTCTACTTAATTTTTATTACTTTTTTTGATAATTCAGTTATTTACTAGTCCTTAAAATTACATATTTCAAGAACTGTTCATTAACTCTACACTTAATGTTAGTCCCATTATAATATTGCATTCTTATATTATTAAAGTTTATCATTTAATTTTTAAATTATAAAAATTTGCAACTGATCTTAATTTTTCTGTTGATTTAGGAGAAGAATCCAAATAAAGTGAAATTTCGTATTAAAAGTTGGTTACTTGAAATTCTATCAAATAAATATGTATATTATATAATTCTTAAGTTAATAACTTTCACTTTTATTCAAAATGATCATACATTCATTCTATAATTTTAAAACTTTTAAAATAGCAAGCATCATTGCAAAAAGCTTTCTTAACATTAAGAAAATTATGAAATATTTCATGCTACTTACTGACACTACCGGCTTCACTATCACTGGCATTTGTTGTGTTGGGGTTGTCTACAAGGACAGAAAAAAGCAACTTAAAAACACAGTCATGCGGACAAATAACATAACTCTTAACAATAGGGAAATTACTGTAGTTGAGCACCACCCACAAAAGAGCGAGCATAGTAATAGCAAAAGGTAATAAATTCAAAAGAAAAAATGCATACAGCAAAATAAAATGTCTTACATCATAAACTAACCTTTTGTTGGAGATCCATCTCCTGAGAGCCAGCAGAAAATAATTATGAAAGAATATTCATATTAACTATTTTAATAATGATACTTCAGATATTATTTCAACATTAAAGCATATGTCATTTGAATACTGATTGCACTTAAGCTTTGCAATTATTAAAATTATAATCATTCCATTAGGCAACAATTATTAACTTGCAAAATAAGAATTTAATTTGCAATAATTAACCAAACTAAATAGCAAATTGCTAAATTTGAAATTACTATATATTACATGACTTTGTCACATTAAAATTATGTTTTATTATAGATTTAAATTTTTAGTTCAGCATGTACACCACACATTCTCTTGTTATAAATATATTATAAATTGCTTACGTTCTACATCACTTCCATCATCTCCACTGTTCTCTTTGCTT